TTTAGCCAGGCTGGTTAATTTAGAGCATGTCACTTATTGACCGCTGAGTTTCTTAAATGAAGCCGTGAAGCCAATTTAAAGCAGGCCGTCATGGCCCAACTGATTTGACGCCAAAAGGCTATGTTTAGTCAGCTAACTAGAAATGCTAGATCAAACGCGATAACCGCGACGCAGACCTTCCTGAACTACACCCGGAAACAAAAAGCTCACCTTAGCCTTAAGGATGCGGAAAATCTTGTTTCCAGTGACACGGCGCACCTGAGCGACTCCGTGCGAGTCCCTCAAGATGACACCGATTTGTGATGGGCGGAGACCCTGAAATGAACAAGTGTTAAAAACGTATCACTCCCATGAAACCACCTCATATCTACTGAATACTGTCACGATCCTAATCAGCAGCATGCATTTCGGACCGCAACACATTAGTAAACCTAAGTATAGGAAAAGTACAGTCTTGGGTAACTGAAGGAATCGAACCCTCTAGTTCCTCACTGCTTAACAAACCTTCTTAGCCAGCTTGACAATCTGGTCCTGAACATCGGCGCTGGTCAACTTCAACCAGGATGGAACAGAGCGTCGGTACGGCAAAGCCGACTTCGACATACCTTTACCAGGATTGTGCATACGACCCATGTTTGCTTACGGATGTGCTGATGCTGTTACCTGAAATTGAAAAAAAATACTCCGGCAAACTTTGCGCAAAGTGCTAGTTTCTGATGGCTAAAGTACATATGCACGGAATTAAGAAAAGAAGTGCAGTCATAGAAGTTTAAAGGGGTATTCTAAGGCAAGCGGAAATTGATAAATTCCTAAATTCTGAACTAAATTGATATATACAAGTAGCGCGAACGCAGAAAAATTCTCCACGCAAAATAAAGTTAACGCGAATTGCGAAAAAAAACCGCAACAATTCCAAGTCTGTCAGAATTGCGTTGAAGTTATAGATCGGGATACATAACATAAGCCAAACAAATGGCCCTGACAAAATCTCTGAGGAGGAAGCCGGAGTTTAGTCTTATTGTTTACTTTGTTTTGGTAGGGTAGGTTCTGACCCTCACTCAAACATAACTGCTTACGATTTTAAAAATTCACAGGAACGGCAACGTTTACGTTCGACGTCTGCACAGTAAACATACGTCAAATCAGGCTGTCGAAAAAAT